CTGACACTATTAGCAGAGACTAGAAAAAAGGAACCAAAAGAAATACCTTTCGAAATGGTCAGAGCAGGGCTCCACTGGTCTCTCAGAATGTCCAAACAGATGCTGCCGTTGGAGTTGATATTGGGGTGGTAGATGCGAGTCGTAAAGTTGACCTTGGGGGCCTTGAAAGGGTAGTCGGTAGGGAAATGGATCGCTAGGAAGAAGACACCGCCAGAGTATGGCGAGTCACTAGGACCCATGATTGTTGCCTGCCAGTGAAACTGTGATTGTTCTGTTAGCAGATGCAAATTTTTGTTGCACAGTCGCCACACATACCAAATCATCGCCAATAGGTCCGGCAGAGCAGGACGAGGGTGGATCGCTGATATTTTCGTTAGTTGTCTTTTTTCCAACGGATACAAAAAGTACGGATATTGTTGGTGGTGGTTGGTGCTGAAGTTGTGTGATGTTGGGCCACGATACACAGGCTGAAAGAGGCTGATGCCCCGCAGCCGTGGTGGGGAGTCACACTTTGCAAAGTCGACAAAGAAAGGGAAAAGGACCTGGGAACTTGAAGCAGGAACGAAGACACTCACCGTCCGAGATCTGTGAGTTCCTTTTGAATTCGCTTAAGAGCCATCTCGAGATGCGCTAGATGTGGTAGAGGGATGAAGGGTCGAGAGAGGGGCGATTTCAGGCAGTCTGGACAAGACACAGGACGAAAAAAAGTCAGTTCTCGGTCAAACACACAATGTCGAAGAGAGAGAAAAGTTTTTTCTCCAAAAGGAATATCATCAAGAAGGGAAGAGATACGTACCAGGAGGGGATTCTAAGAGTCTCGTGGGTATGACGATGACAGAAAGACTGCGAGGAACAGAGAAAAGAGGAAGAAGACGGAAGCGCCAGACAGAACTGGGCGGGCGCGCCCCACTAGGCTTCGGCGGAGGTGCGCTTCCGTATCGGTACGTACGGAGTACCGTATCGTGCGTGTAATGTACCCACTACCTGACGCCGTCCAGCCTGTGCATGACGTCGGCCGGCCCCAAATGTGAGGGGCAATACACGGCAATTACCGCGAACGCAGGCAGCCGCCCTACTATTGGCGGCCCGCTCAGTTTGTTACCAGTGGGTGTATCGCATTTTCCAGTCCGTACTGCACGGTATCGACAAAATATACTAGCCCATTCACAATGATTCATTCTTGATATATACACACAAGCAAAAAAAAGAGAGAGAAAGATATTATATCTTTCCACCAACTTCTGTTTTTCTGCCTAATCACCACCAAGATAAGACGAAAAATTTTTCAGGCATCACTTCATCTGGCCACGACCAAAAAGACTGTCGGGTTCGCTGTCAGACAGCGAAATGAGAGGATAAATTATCTGGACTTTTGACTTCCACTTTTCACCTCATAGTTTCTTCCAGCATTAGCAGCCATATAACCGGTAAAATCAGATAAGTCTTATTTAATGGTTCTATTGTAATAAGGATAATAGCGACTTCTAGATAATGTATGAATTAATACTATTATCTTTATATAAAAACATCCTATAGTTTCTTTATTTAAAATAATTAACTATTAAATAGATCTAGGTAATAATTAGTTTTTTATTAAAGCATTTTAATAATACTATTCTTGGCTTAGTATAACTGAATATGAATAATTATACTTAGTAAAACTTACTAATCTAGTTAAGATTATATTTTAATCAGCTTCGAGATATACATTTATCAATTCACGGAGGACAGATTGGATCCTACTATCGTGTGCTTTCTCGAACTCTCCCTTGGAAGCTCACAGAGTCGTTCGTAGTGTGGTCAGGGCCTAGGAAGTACTTCACATTATTTACGTCGTGTTTGACATACTGTTGCACTCCAGCAGAGTATTGGCCGTCTTCTAACCCGGGGCATGACGAGAAAACCGATACACATTCCAATGGGAATTCCGGTGGTGATCGCAGTCAATGCCAAGGTAACCTGATCTTCCTCGAGTCCAACGCCCTCGAGAAGTGCTTAACCGTAGAAAGTTACGAGAGAGGTTCCAGAAATGTTAATTAAGACGGAGACCCAATATTCCTGTTAGCAACATTGGAATAAATTTTAGGTAAACACAAATAGTCACTATATACGTCTCACATTCTTCGTTGGGCTTCCAGTCGCCGGTGAAAAGAACCTTGGACGACAGAGACTTTGACTGCTCCCGCTCGAGTTTTATGGGTGTTTCGATGTCTCGTTTGGCTTAGATAAAATTTTAGCCGTTATCGTCGACGTCGAGTAGCCGTTTGAGAGCAGCAGTGCCTTCGATTTCTCGGCCACGAGCAAGGAGCCATCTGTAACCGAATCAGAATTCATTCGCTGAGATCATATATATATATAGTTCAACTGGGTCTTATAGCACGGAGGAAGTATGCACTGGAGAACCAGGGCAGCCAGAGACGAAGATGAGAGCAAGAGCCAGCCAATGTGCTTATAGGGACAATGCTACCATCCATGCGTTATGGGCTGGTCCTTTTAACATGGCATAGTCGAACCATGTAGCTGCTGAAATTCCACCGATACCTCATAATACCATGACCATAGTATCGACGGTTCGTCTCTTGTGTGTTACATTCAATTCCTGCAGATAGGTTGGGGGGGTAGCAGCGAAGGCTTATCATCATGGTCAGTATATAGGTAAACACGTTGGATATATATATATATACCTATATATGTATCGAGACCTCTCCGCTTACATATACCTACGCCCATTTGCAAAACAAAGGACAATCCTCCCCACGAAGATGGGCACCCACAAAAATGGGGCATTCAGTGGCGGTTTGCAGAATAACTCCCACCAAAACAGTCAAGTAAAAAAGGATGACTGTCCTGCACACTCTAATCCTCCAGCTCACGGGGCCAATTATTGCAAGACTGAGAACATCACCCAAGGGGGCGCCCGAGAAGACGAAAGATTTGTATCGCGAGTCTGTGGGATTCTTAATTGCATCGAGATATGGGTTGGAGAGTACGCAGACAATGACACCTCAAATCAACCAGTAGCTACTAGATAGCAAGAATTGATAAGTTGTTACTCGCCTGCATCCCAGCCGTAGAGGGTGAAACCGAAAGTGTTGGCACAGTTGAGCATTTGGACCAGCCTAGGGCTCCGGCATGACCACTGGTGATTGAACATGATGAATGGTAGCGACAATTTGTAGAAATACCTACCAGCATTAGATAGTCTCTTCTGACAGAATTGGGTCCTATCAATGGGGGTTATATTTATTGATAACGGAGCATACATAGCTAGCTATGAGCAGTAGTACAATTGTAAGTTATCTAGAGAGACTATATTTGTCGTATCAAGACTAGCTATGCCGGTACCTATGCCGACCCCGTACAGTACATTATCCGAGATGATAGTTAGAAGCCGGCTACGAAACCAGGTAAGAGACTAAGAACAGCAGGGGATAATCCTAGCTAGTAAGAATTCGAGGCTTGCACGTAATGGTCGACGCTGTTGGTTTGCAGATGAAACTATGCAACGAAGATGGCCCAGAGGTTATTATAGCAAATCGCTTTTCTCCATAACCCTAACTAGTAACATGCTACTATTAGTTGTGCCACTTTTTGTGCAAGATGCATTATCATTTATATGATAATATGGTATCAATCCGTGGCTAATGAAGGTCCAACGTCGGATTCATAGAGCAAGACCATGAGCGCAAAGAAGCAAGAAGTGAAGCTCAAGGTCCTGGTTAAATAAACGGCTACCGGGTGGATTTCAGTTCAGTTTTTCTATCGCGTGGTCTGTAAACACTTTTGTCTGAAATCTAATGCTCCTATAGGCGACGGCGAGTATACCGATTTGGCTTGACGCCGCTAGATCTTACAAAAAATGGGGGATGCTTGCAGGAAGGATGCATGATTTGCCTGGCCGATGCTAGATGCCTTATATTCAAATACGAACACGTCATCTCACAAGCCCCTGATGGTGTAGTTGGTTTATCACGTTCGACTGTAATGTTATCATATAATCGAAAGGTCGCTGGCTCGATTCCGGCTCGGGGGATCTTCTTTTTTTGACATTTTTTTCTCCCCAGCCGTTGTGACTCTACTAGCGGTAGATTCTCTTGTCACAGAGTTGGATCTCCTCAATAGGGGTTTATTTATTAATAACAGGGTTAGAGTTGCTGTTCCATCGTAGTTCCCGCCTTGATTCCTGATTCTAACGCTGCTATATAGTGTGAGGGTAGAGCCAAGCCAGCAGGCTTGACGTTTTGGTCTTTTTTGGCCTAGATTGGGCTTTGCGGAGCCCCCTCCGGAAAATATCCCTTTCGGTGGTCCCGTGACACACTCTACCATATGGCATATGCCACATGGCACATGTAATTACAGTATGGGATTTGAGGTCTTTAAAAAGGAAGACAATTCCCTTAGTAAATGCAGTGCCAAGAAAAGTTTCCGTTGGTGGTCCCGCAACGCCACGCGACGCGATTTTTGACTCTTTTTCAATCATGCCACGCAAGCTTTTAAAGTCTATTGAACCCAATAGCGATAGAGAGCATAAGTTAAGTCATATCTACAAGATCAAATTATTACTTTCTATAAAGAATATTATAAATTTACAGAGATTATACGCTAGTGTTACGGCATGAACAGGGAAGACTAAAGAAGCAGCTTGATTCAGGTCTTTAACCAAGACGACAGCTGACTAAGAGAAAACTAGAAAACAGGAGACAGCAGGCCTCTATTTATAAAATTTACTACCAAAACCGGTAATTTCAATCAAAATTTCGAGAATTTTACCACTGCTGCTCTTCACCGCGAGGCGGTAGCAGAGGGTCCGACCGCGGTACTCTACAAATGTGAGGCCTGCAGTGCGGCCTTGGCTGCCTAAAGAGGCTAGGTCTGAGGCTTAGCGTGCACGTGTTGCACCTTATTATTTTCCGCAAAAAGCAATCTCGAACTTCCTTCTCCATGCTCCAGATCTTGTGAATACAACAATAGTTCTTAATTTTGCCAAATATAACAACAAGCCCCTGATGGTGTAGTTGGTTTATCACGTTCGACTGTAATGTTATCATATAATCGAAAGGTCGCTGGCTCGATTCCGGCTCGGGGGATCTTCTTTTTTTGACCTTTTTTTTCTCCCCAGCCGTTGTGACCATATATTGCATATCTAATCAACGACAAAGATGCAGTTTACAGATGTACTAACGATTCGACGGTATTGATCCGGCAATCCTTCGGACGCTGATGAATCAGGGTGAAATTTGATTCGTCGACCTCTCTAATCAACAGTTCTTCTTTGTAGGAACCGGACTTTCCAAGATCAACCTCTTCTGGACCCTTGTATTAGAATGCTTAGGCATATCACGAAGCTGATGAGCAATTCCAAGGTTGATTTTATTCTTCACTTCCTTTTTGTACGTAAAAGGACCTGTGATCCGGTTTTGGTCTTCCTGTATTCAAATAGGCGCCGCGGTCGTAGGTAACGAGGTATAAGGGGCATTCCATGTTTTTGTTAAAGAGTGAGTAAAAGTAAACGTTGGGAAACTAGCGATATATCAGAAGGGTCTTTTTATCCGGAAGCCGTCTTACTCGGACTATTTCTCTCTTTATAAATAAGCTTTCTGTGTGTGTCGGGTCGTGAATAGACAGAAGATTGATGAACTAGAAGCCGACAGTGTTGGACTATATATGCTATCGCTACTTGAGAAGAAGGGCAACTTGGGTTCTAAAATTAGGAGACAGGACAATGCTTGCGGAAGCGCCACGACCTGTATCAAAACCACAGGAGTTGGCACAACTTGGCGCCAAAAGAGAAAAATAAAAGTGTTATAAGCGATTTGGAAACGGCCATATTGTCAAGCCATGAGCTCTATGCGCTAGGTTACCAATAGCATATACCAATGTCAAACACAAACCCCAGTCTTCCCATTTGAGCTGAAATCGTAGGCAGAGGCAAACTCACCTATTAAAGACGTTCGTTTAGCACCAGTATATCCTAAGCGCTTGACTAGGTTTCTCCAGCACCAAACTGATTGGCTATAGAAGTTCTATGTCTGATTACTGTTTCACAAACGCTATGGATCTACGAAAATTCCCCTTGGCCCAATCGCTTGGCTCGTGATTGTATTGACTCATAGATAGACAATCAAAAATTGAAATTTGCTCGTCCAAACATCGGCCAGTTTAACCACACAATCCAAACAAAAAAAAGGTCACATGGATTTGTAGGCACTTCAGGTAAAATATTCCCTAGATATTGGCTAGCTAGGCAATGTAAGAACATTAGTTCTGCCAGCTTCAGCCTCTCGTTGGAAATCGAGGCACTTGACATTGACTCGGCAAGTCATTGACTACGACGTACTCCTATCTAATCTTAAAACTGGGCATGACAGCATCTTTTCCCCGTCACCTGCTGCGCCAAGTAGGAACAACTATCTAAGTTCCAGGATCGCGATTGAAGCGACTTGCGACCACCTGGCGCCATGCTTGGGACTAGTCTGCGTGTGATTAACTCGTTCTTAGATCTCACGCGAAAGAGATTTGGCAGGCTTCCGCCAGCAGCATCACCTCAAGGTTACTATTCATTTCGAAAATGACACTTGAGAGACCCGGTCTTTCACAAATACAAGCAGTCATGATTTTATTGTATTTATTTGGCTTTACAACTACCAAAATCCACTAATCCAGCCTTAACAAACACATCATCCAGCAATTATATCAACAACCCTGTTACACAAACGCCTGGATGCCCGTGATAGCACGGCCGAGAATGAGGGCTGCGGCTCAAGTCAGTCAAGGAAACAGGAATCGAAAGAGATATATCTTACAGTGGATATCGCTTTGTCCCTCGTATGTTTGCGTGACGAATAAATTGGCGACATGGCGTCCAATATGGTACTCGTCACTGGTTGCGTTACCGCCAAACACTTCCTGGAGTCTATGCAGAGTCAGCAGAGGATTTAAAGCAGGGAAGGAAAAGAAAAGAAAAGAAACATACACACGAGCGTTGGCCAATGCTCTGTCGCAATTCTGGCGTTTGACCATGGAAATCATCTCTGGCGTCGCCTTGCCGGCATCCTTTAGACGCGCCACCTGGGTAGCAGCCAGAGTGCCATAGGCGGCATCTGTAGCTGCGTCGGCCAGCTTCTTCTGAATGAGTTGATACTTGGCCAACGGATTTCCCTTGAACTGTTTCCGCTCCAAAGCATATGCCCTTGCACGGCTGAGTGCATCCTCTAGGGCGCCGGTGACGCCAAACGAGATACCCAGTCTAGCACTGTTGAGGCACGTAAACGGACCAGTCAGACCCTCAACTTCCGGCAACATATTCTCAACTGGCACGGGGCAGTCGTCCAGCTGGATCATGCCTGTGATTGACGCGCGAAGAGCAGTCTTGTTCTTGATGGCCGGTGTCTCTAAGGTACCCGGCGGGCACTGGCTGCGTTCAACCAAGAAGCCTTTGATCTTGCCCGTGCTCTCGAGCTTCGCCCACACCAGCAACAAATCCGAAATCGGCGAGTTTGTGATCCACGTCTTGGTCCCAGACAGCGCATAATACCCTTTCTTGGTTGGGTGCTCACGCGCCACCGTTTCCATCGAGCCAGGATCCGATCCATGGTTTGGCTCTGTGAGGCCAAAGCAGCCCAGGAGTTTCCCCTTTGCGAGCTCGGGCAAGAACCGATCTTTCTGTTCCTGTGTGCCAAACTCGTAGATCCCGGTCATTGCCAGCGAGCTTTGCACAGACATTCCAGATCGGTATCCTGAGTCCACACGCTCGACTTCTTTTGTGATAAGCCCCGAAGCAACGGTGCTGGCGCCCGCGCATTCGTAACCCTGGATGGAAGCTCCTAGTAAGCCTATCTCTCCCATTTCCAAGAGTATTTTGCGGTCGTAGTCTTCATTTCGGTACGCCTCTAAATAGAATAACATTAGCATTCTTTTTCATACACAAAAATATTTTTCTACAGAAAAACCGCATAATATTTTGTTTCCATACCGAGTACTCGAGGCTGCAGTCGCTCCTGGCAATACTGCCTTGCCGTATCCTGAATCGCCAATTCCTCCTCTGTAAACAGCTCCGACGCAGCCAGAGGATCTTCCCAGTTAAAGGCTGCCACCGAAGATGCCCGTCGGCCTTTGTGAAGTCCAACAGATGTTGCGGCTCGCACGCTGGAAGGTACCGTGCGGGATGCGTGAGGGGACTGCCGCGCGACAGCTCGAAGCATTGTGCGATTCATGACGGACGATAGTACGGAAAGAAGACAACGTTGAGGAAGAAAGCGGTTTATAATTTCATGGCATTAAATAAAATATAATCGCACCAGTCGCTTTAGCCTGTGGAGAGTCAGTACGGTACAGAGATGGGGAAATGCGGAGAAATGACGACCAAAGCCCATGTGTATTCACTCGGCCACAATGGGCGGTGATCAGGCAGTTCGAAGGGATTGTAGGTAATGACTCACGGTCATCAATCATATACAACAACAATATGCCACCAAAACACCGTTGTCCGCTGCAGAAAAAGCAAAGCATGAATTGACAGTTCAACAAGGTCTCAACAGCGTTCGGAAGGGAAGCCGATCGAGGCCCGCGTTTACCTCGGCTCTGTCAGCCAATCACAGTGCATACATTCCGCATCCCAAAGAGGAAAGACAAGGAGATATCAATTGATTGAACTATAGATAATAATAATAGAGATGATGTATTGAATTAAAAGACACATGGTTGTAGCTCGTCTTAAAAATTCTCCTTACCCCAAACAAATTGAAAGCCCGGCCCAGAGTACTGGTTGCACTTGACATGCAGCTGACTGCCGAGACCCTTGGGACCGCAGAAGAAGACGCCAGCCTCTGCAGGGGCGTGGATTTTACGTACAGACCGAAAGATCGTGTCCCAGTTGGGACGCCCAAAGTTTGTCGGTGCGCGCAGCCCCGTGATGGCGTCCTGGTCTGCATCGGCGTCGTTGATCATAATATTTGTGGCATCGTCGGGTTTGATTTTGGCGGTTAGGTACTACCATAACAATCAATACAAAAATCGAGAAGATTCGAGAAAGAAAACGGTATATGGCTATGGACAGATGGACTCACAGTGTGGATTTCAATCCGGCTCTCCAAGTCCTGAGCCTCGATTGCAGCAAGCAGTGATTTGAACCACTCAAAGGACCCGAAATCACGGCATACCCAAAAGAAATACACTTTGCGGAGGCGAGTTCGCTGTTGCGGGTAGTTCATCTTGTACCAGACACTCTTCAGAATAGAAGCAAAGGGGGTCACTCCAATGCCCGCCCCGACCAGCATGGCAACCTCGTACTTGAACACGTCCTCTGACGCACTGCCAAACGGGCCGTCAATGTACACTCGAGGAAGGATGCGGCGGATAGAAGGGTCGTCGTCGCTATCTTTGCTGTCGACCTTGTTTACACCGACGACGGCAGACCGGCTGGCGTCTTTGGTGCCTCTGGCAGCGTCAAAATCACAGCCAAGTGTCGCTGCCAATGCCTTGGTAAAGTTTCCGACGCATCGGATGTGAACAGATATATAATCTTCCTCGGGGGCGCTGGTGAGAGTGAAAGGGTGATATTGCCAAAGCGAGACCTGAGGGCAGCAAAGGAAGATGTACTACGAAGTGTCAGCTATACAACAGCTTTTTTTTGTGTGTATTGGTGAAACTACCCACCTGCCCAGCTCTCGTTTTCGTCTTGTCCTTTTTGATTTGAATCTCCACAACATTACTTGGATGCTGAATCACCTTGGAGATATAAGTCTTGTGTCGCCCGCGAATCTCGCGTGCAATTCTCTCAACCAAATAAATGGCTGCGCCATAAATCCAAAACTGATAAAAGACCCCAATCCCGGAGCAAAAGGGCGCGAAATCAGTGGGGATCATGCAGAAGATTCCATGCATGGACCAAAATACGAAGAAAATGATAAATAAATGATGCGTATACCAGAAGCGCTCAAAGTTCTTTCGGCGAGGGGATTCAAGGGACGTGAAAACCATGGCCATCAGGCTAATAAGCATAATCCAGCCGGTCCACGTCGGGCCAGTCAAGAACCCGGCTCGAAGAAATCCTACAAAGCCTTGGTTGTTTTTGGCTGATAGCTGTGCC